AGGGCACAGGCGATTGATAAGAGCACACCATCAGACAATGTAGTTGGGCCAAGCATCGCAGATGCAAAGTTCCAGAGTACTAGTGAAGAAGAACTTGTCACAGTCTCACCACCAATAGGGAGACTCAAGATTACCATTTAAGATCACATATCGCATGTTTGACCAAAAAGATAGGCAAGATCTGTCAATTATAAATAGTTACATTTGATCCACAATTACACATGTAAATACACTAGAATGTGCAATGAAATTAATCAACTATCAGAGAGGAGCAATAAAGTTACAACATGTGAAATGTCTAGAACATTTAATAAAATATTAGATTATTTTAATAGGGGAGCAATAACGTAAGTTAACATATTGTTACATCTCTGGTCGTTAGTTAATTTTCCGTAAAAAATTTTTCCGAAGAAACTTTACCGATATAAGTCCTTTCTTAAATAAAACTGGTTTATTCTTTCTGAATACAACTTTGCGATACACTTAATTTCAACAGTCGCGCTATAACAAACGCTATAATTCCCAACGAACGTCTCACGTGCTCGACTCAACAATACTCTGTCCGCAATTCAATTACACATTGTTTCCGTCGCTTCTTGGTCGGTCTTATATATACAAGACTACCCCATATCTAGTAGTCTCCCGACGCTTCATGAACGTTCTAGAAGCGCGTGGCGTGTTACTAGATCACGTGACCTCCGCTGTCGTAACAATATTATAGACACTAAAGAAGTAAAAACTTACTAGTTAGCAAGAATGGAACTAACTTTCATTTGCAGAGTAATCAAGATAACGAATTTCCATCTATTGTTAGTGACGTCTACTGTGAGTTGTGAAATACGTATCTACCCCATAGATAATACAGGAGAGCATTTGTAGAATAATGAAATTTTACATGGTACAGACTGTACCGTAGAACATGTTAGCTAACTCTTTAGTTAATGTAGAAGTTAAGCAACTTAACATTTTCTTGTACTAACTACGCACGAGCCGGTATCACTTTCATTGGCCATTAAATTTGTTCTCTTGCAGGAATGATAGCTATGACTTTACTCATGATGGATGAAACTATACAGATTCTTTTTTAGTTGTTGTTGTTGTTCGCGAATTGTGTAATGGCCAGGGGCTTCTCTGCCCCTGTAATCGAGAGAGAGAGAGAATAAACCGTAGTTACGTGAGCAGTCTGGCTTTGTTTATTTCATTGCATTATGGTATTTAATTAAAAGCCTGGCTCTCCATTATCAGGCAAATATTAAAAAACTTTTCAAAATCTGATGCAGTTTTATTTAAATTTTCTGATAAGAGATCTTGCCAAAAATTTTAGGGTTGGTTTCAGAATTAAGTTAACTTTGTTTTACTTTTATTTTGACGGCTTTTTTGTTTGAACTTTTAGCTTTATTTTTGTTTTAGTAGTTGACACGTACTGGATTGGTGAGAGAGAGGAAACCAACAAAGATTTATTTACATACTGTCTAATGCCGGTTCCACAACTGTATGGCAAACACCTGCCCTTGTACTTTGATTGTGTGTTTGTAACAAAGATTTTGATTTGTACATTCCGTGCACTGTCTCCTTCTTTGTGATGAACTCGAAGTTCAAAGAGAAACATACCCATACTCTATAATATCGTGTTCTTCGAACCTCTTATTTAGCGGACCATACCTACTTACTTTGAGGGAAATCAGTGTAAATGAAAATATCACACCAGAAATTAAGGGTCTTATCATTCGAATTCGAGTCGAACCTCTAATACATACATTGTATTATTATACCATGCAATTTTAATGAGAGAAGATAGTACTGATAATTAAGAAAAACAACAATGGAATTTTGATAAATTTTTTTAGTGTTTTTTATATAATTGGCGTTTTGCAAATGCTTGTAGTGGTCAAATATTTTCTAAAAATAAATATGATGTCAGGATGTATTTGGAAACAACAACAACAAAAAGAGCATTTAAGCTGTAAAATTCGCACGAATTTTTCCACTTGCACAAGTTCTTGATACTGATTTTACATGTTCTGGGTCGCAATCTGATTTATCCTAAAATTTTAATATGTTCACTGATCATTGTAAATAACCAGTGGATGTGTTAGCCAAATTAAAGATAGTCATATGTTAAGAGCGGAGTCAATATTAGATGTTTCGAAATACTGAGAGTAGCAACGTTGTTCGATATAATGCTTGGAGACGGCTTGAATGGGTAATGGAGAAAAACTTTAATATAAATTTATCATAACAGCAAATGTACAACGTTTCGACAAGGTTTTGTCACCATCAGGTACATTTGCTGTTATGTTAAACTAAGATTAAAGTTTTCTTCATTACCCATTCAAGCCGTCTCCAAGCATTATTAGTTTCCTTCTTATTTCATTCACGATGTTAGAAAAGCATGTAGGTTCAAGAAGTCTTGATAAAAATAAATAAAAACGTTATAACCTGAGCGCTTTCGAAAGGTGGACCTTTCTTCTTCAGGGGAAAACTGGGAATGCCTCTGAAGAAGAAAAGTCAACCTTTCGAAAGCGCTCTTGTTATTCCATGTAATTGTTTGTTGAATTTTGCTCGAACTAGCTAACCCTAATTTAGAAGTGATGAACTAAAGGGAATGTAGCTGGTCAAATGCTCCCCAGTAGCACACGGGATGTCTGCAGACTTACAACGTTAGAAACCGGGTTTCGATACCCGTGGTGGGCAGAGCACCGATAGCCCATTGTGTAGCTTTGTGCTTAACTTCAGACAAACAAGCTAGTCGACATCAGCGCCACATTGGGTCACTTCTAATAGAACAGTTTGTTTCTGTACCCCACGACTGAAAGGGCGAGTATGTTCGGTTACGGGATTCGAACTTGGGACCCGCAGATTATTACATATAGTTTATAGATGTGGTCTTTATGAACACCAGGGTTCTTTGTGAAATCGTTATCAACTTAATTTCATCTTTCATTACAGATGCTTTACTACACGTTCATTTCCTTCTGTATGTAGCTTCCTTAAATAAGACGCTGTGTTAACATGTTTTTTTAAACACTAAGTTATTATTCAAAGTATTCGTACATTTTCGGTAGAGGCTAATTGAAGTTATCGTAATGTCATCTGTGAAACGACCAGATATAACAGCATTGCCAGTAACTGACTTAAAGATACGTTTGGCTGGCTCTTTTGTAAATTTGCTTAAAACTACATAAAAACTATTCGAGACAGCCGTCCCTAATTCTGAACTGATAGACTAAAGGGTATGGCACTATGGCAGCACCAACCGCCAAATCTTGGGCTACTGTAATGGAATAATAAGATTTGGCCGACATTTTTATAGTCCTCCCATGTCCACAGATTACGAAGTTCGTTTTAATTTATTTATGTATTTGAGACAAGTCGTAAACCGTCGGACACGGTGCGGTACGCTATCTACTAGACCACGCCTAGCAAACGGAAGTTTAAATTTAGAAATGAGGATATAAAATCCACTGTTTAGGTGATAAAAAAACACTGCTTTGTCAAATAAAAAACTGATTTAACACACTGCTGGAAAATGTTTTCATTATTCCGCTGAATGAAATTATAATATTTAATTTAATGAATACGTAAGGTTGTTGCCGCTCATACAGAACTATATAATATTAATTATAGACTAATGTAAGTAACAAATAATGTGACATGATAATATAAGATTCACGTCGGTTAACTGCCTTTGTACAATTTATAAATACTATTTGTTTATTCAGTATTTGAGGAACAGGAGACTAATACGTTAATATGTTGATTTATTTACAAAATATAAAAGTATTTAGGAAATAAAGAGAGAGAGAGAGAGACTAATGTTGCACAAATACTTTCAGTGGTATTTGAGGGACCTACTAAATGTTTCTCATGGTATTTGAGGGACCTACTAAATGTTTCTCATGGTATTTGAGGGAC